ACCGTCTCAGTTCATCTCTTTCGAGCGTAATGGGCGATCTCGCAATCGCTAGTTTGTTGGCTCTGCGCTGCCGTAGCTCAAAGATCTCTGCCTCCATGGCTGCGAGACCCGCTCCTATGTAATTATAAATAACGAATTCTAAGGCAACGCAAATATTAAGGTTAAGAGGCTGAGCTCATAGATGATGATAAATAACATAGTTATGTATAATATATTACATTTCTGACTGTATATCCCTGAAATTATTACACACTGTAGCTTTAATACAGGTTTAAAATATATATTTCACTTTGTATTTTGATTCCTTATTAACTTCAAGGCAACATATTTATGTTGGTTATTTAATTTGAAATGGAAAGCATAAAATTATAGAAATGAAATGCTCGAATTAAAAGATTAAGTAAAATAGTCATTATTTCAGTTATTTTACGTTCCACTTTGGAGAATCATCAATACTTTTGACTGAGAGGGGGAATCATGGTTATGGTTATTTTATAAATTTTATGAGAGTACGGCAGTTTTGTTAACAGTATTCTTTTAATGTTAGGGTTAGGGTAAGAGTTAGGGCTCAAAGCTGTATTGCTTTGCCAGTGTGAGGTAGGTTTAGGGGTTTGCACAATTATATTCTATTCTCATCATAACAGTAGATTTATATTATATTATATCAGATTAGATTTGAGACGATTTGATATGATTCGATTTAATTCCATCAGAACTGATCAGATTTAAACCTAGATAGATAGTTAATTATTATCATTTTTTATGTTGAAAAAAAGGTGTCGAAATTAGGGCTGTGGGTAGAAATGGATATAGCAAAATATATATTGTGATTTTCTGCCGCCTGCTATTAATATCAATTTTTCAGCTCCTAATATCAATTTTTTTTTTTTTTTATATTTTTACCTTACCCAATGATGGGGAAATGGGCTACTTCCCCTTTAAGCTTGATATGTGTGGAAATGCTTGAATATATGAAATAAAATAAAATTCTGTTTTATGATGTTCCACACTCAAGATTTATGACATACTAATCAAGAATACCACTCGCTATCCATTAGCTTCTTTTTGTTTTGTGTTTCTGAAGAGCTGATGCTACAGAAACTGCACCTTGTTTTTTTGCACCATATCAAAGTTTGATGAAAACTGAACTGCAAACTGCCAAAGTTTTGACTTATCATACGTTCTTATGTTTTTTCACTTTTCTAGAGATACAAACTTCAAAGTGGTTTTATTTTCAGCTTCCTTTCAGCTTTTTTTGTATTATTCGCCAGTTGGATGGAAAACATCTGCAACATGCCTGGCTGTGTCTGTTCACAACTTTTTGAGTTTAAGCTCTTTCCTTAAAATATAAAGCCAGTGACTTAGATTTAACTGAAATACTCTCTCACCTGCTCACCCATTACCTCATGCGATCCAGCTCCAATAAGTACAGCTCCTCACCTTTGCCTCAGCCATCACCGTTAAAGACTCTGCATTTAAAGTTTCAGATCTAACATGCCCTCACATCCAGTTTAACTGCCACCCTCCACTGCCCCTTTACCACCTTCATCATATCTGCCTCCCCACAACTTTTCTCGTTCTCCAGCCCCAGTATCACCACCAAAGGCTTTTATATGTCATGATCTTAGCTCCCTAATTGCTCACTCCATTCACCTGTCTAATTGCCCGGTTGTTCATTACTGCTCATCTAATCCACCTGCTGCGGCTTCTATTTACATGGCTCAGGCTCAGCCATCATGGCCAGATCATTGATGATGATGCTCTCTTTAATGTTCTCGTTCTTGGGGGCCAGTGGAGCGAGCAGTGTTTTAGTGTTCAATAGTGTTTCTGATTTCTTGATCCTGATCTGCCTCTTATCGACTGAGCGTCCCTGTTCGTGTCTTGGCTCAGTGGAGAGAGCGTTCTGGGTTGGGTTTTTTTGTGTGTTCCGTAGTGTTCCTGATATCCTGACCTGTTCTGCCTCTGCACCACTGATCTTGCTGGTTTCCATCTGAACATCCTACCTGAACTCTCTGTGGACACCTGGAACCCTGGACCAGCCTGTTCCTGTTCCCGCTGATATTCCTGACCGGTTTTACGACTCCTGGACCTCTGAGCCCTCCTGTTCTGATCTGTTTCCCTGTTCTGGCTCGGACTCCTGCTTGTCTTCCGGGGCTGCAGCATCTGGGACACTGTGGGCGGAGCCCACCGCATCTAGTTGGCAGAATGACTTATTGCGCACACCCAAGCACGATACCATGCTGGAATGCAATAAGCACCTATTCTTCCCCAAACGTTTCTAGAATCAGTCCATGCAAGCTTGTATGGTAGACTTTGTATACTCCACAGGTCAGGTCATATATTTAATATGTCTGCACCATCAACGCCAAGTCAAATTCCTGATAAGTGCAAACCTACTTGGCAATAAATCTGATTCTGATTCTGCAGAAAGTGACTCAAAAAGGGGCCCCTGTCAAAAAACAGGGCAAACAAATACAGAATGGTTTGTAAATGGTGCCAACTTCCTAATTATTTATGCATACTTACCAAAAGATAACCTGTTCTTTCAGCTTATAAAAAATTGCATTTTGTTTGCTGCTTCTCTCATCCCTCCCTTTATGCTGGGCAGCTGAATATATAAAACACTGAAAACAGATAAACCAGATGACATTCAGCCTTCAGGCCCCTTGATGGAGCCATTTAGCTGTTTAACTGAAATGATACTTAGAAATATTTTTGGCCAATGTCCAGCCAAATAAAAATATATTTACTGGATACATTCCAACAGCTAGTTTTATCAGTGTAATACTACACTCCGGCGGTTTAAATATAGCCTATTTAAATAGAAAAATACACATCAGTGTGAGTTTCACTACTTGGTCACTTGTGATCCGCCTCTGAATTGTGTAACAGTGAGTACCGCCCACCTTTCCCCCATTCGGATGTGGCCAATGTTTTCCAGGAAATGCACAACTGAAACCACCCAACGGATCACACAACTTCAGCAGCGACACGTCTGCTTTCCAACTGTTTACTGTAGTAATGAGGGAGCTGAAGATGTCAGCGCAGGTCTCCTTAGAAACAGCGGAACATCCCAGACTCCTGAAGCTGTCATCCGCGCTGTTCTACGCCGGTAGTTCGTTTCTGATCACCGTGGTGAACAAAACTGTGCTGACCAGCTACAGGTGGGACAATGTCCACTCACATGTATGGCAACCAGGAACTATTATTATCACTATTAGAAAATGGTATTATGTGTTGTGATTCTGCAGATTTCCCTCTTATCTGTTTGTGGGCATTGGACAAGTAAGTTCTGCTTTTGTTCATTATTTCCCTTTACTGTAAAGCAAAAAACTGACTTTTGTTTCTTCCTTTTCAGATGATAACTACTATTGTGGTTTTATATTTAGCCAAAATAAACAACACGGTCAAGTTTCCAGATTTTGATAAAAGCATCATCCTAAAAGTAAGAGTTTAAGATATTACAAAATGTGATATAACTTTTCTACCAGTAATTGAAAATTAGTATACTAAACATATCTACTTCTAAAGAAATGCTATTAAAGGTTGAGAATTTTATTTTCTCCTCACTTTTTCTGTATATTATATACAGTATATGGGGTATGCCACTAGACTGCTGAATGTTTTGTAAATGGGTTATTATATTGTATTTTCTTATATTTATTATATTTTATCATCATATATATATATATATATAAAGATTTTAGAACTGTAAATTTACAGTCATTTTTACTATTTTTCAAGGCTGCGCTTTTAAAAAAAAAAAAAAAGATGAAATTGTCCACAAAGCTGTTCCAAACGAAATTTGTTTTTGTTTTACACTTGTGTAAACAAAATGGGAAATAAAATCTTACTAAGTCATAAATATCTGGATGAAAGATGTAAGCAAAATTTAAATATTTTAAATGTCAGTTTAATGAATTGATGTATGGAGGACCAATCCTGCCATAATTAAATATAAATACAGAAATAAATAAATGCTCCAAAAAGAAATAAGCATACAATTAATTCCCCCCCAAAAAATACAATAAAAAAATAAATGTTGGTAGAAATGAAATTATACAGTGAGACATAAAGATATATATATATATATATATATATATATATATATCTTTTTTATTAGCTTCTTTGTTTATTTGCCTTTGTAATTATTACCATATTTATTTATTTATTTTCTGTTACATTCTTCAACTTTATTTATTTTTTTACTGTGTTTGTTTATGTGCTTGTTATAATATATTTGTCTGGTTTATTCCTCCTTTGTATTTTTTCACCCTATTTATTTCTTCCATGCTATTTATTTCCGCCTGTCGTATTTACATTTCTGTTTTCATTTCTGCCTCAGTATGCAAATGACTACACTGTTGTATGCAGTTATATTATATGAACAAGTCATCTCAACCTTCATAATAATCAATTACAATTCCAGCAATAAAAATATAACAGTGGTATGTCTTTATTTCCAAGGATCCCCTGATCCCATCCAAACAAAGATTTTGAAGGAAGTGTTTTTTAACGTTTAGGTTTACTGTCTGTGGAAGGATTTTTTTTTGTTTGACTGCATCTAACTGATCGATACTGATTGCTTACTATACCATTTTTATTGGATTAGCTCCCCTAGCCTTGAACTTCATACAGTTGATGTCCATTTGTAATAAAGGTTACTTCAGTTGCCTAATATGCGCTTTTCTTTATCCCTTTTCTGAAAGCGATATCTTAGGATTCTCAAAGCAAAATAAATCTGCGAACTACAATCTTCCAGGATTCGGGGGGGAAATTACAAACAAAAATCTTAGACGTTTAAACGGTTTAAACTGCTTCAACTATAAGAAGTATAATCAGGATATGGCAGACAACAGGAAGAGTTGCTGTTTAAACCAGCTCTGCTAGGCTAAGGACAATACAGAAGCTGCATATGTGGCTCCGTGGCACCAGAAAATGCAGAGCTCACCTCCAAAGACTGTATAAAATAAACACCTGCTAGCTACTCTTAAAGTTGGTGGAGGTTCCATCATGCTGTGGGGCTGGTTTTAGAACTGAGACTCTTGTAAAGTGGATGAATTCAAACAACTATTTACAGCTTTTTGAGGAGGATGTCCAAGCATCAGTCTCAAAGCTGAAGTTATGCACGGGTTGGATAATTGATTGATTCACTTTATTGATCTCACAGTGGAGAAATTTACTCTTTACATCAGGTAAAATATTCAAAGAAGAAGGTGCCAAAGGAAGAAAAAAGTGCATTGGATATACGTATATACATTCCACATATGACAGCTTTTTTATTTTATTTTTTATAGTAGGATCATTATACTAGATTAGTGCACTGGGTATCAAATAGTTATTGCACATTATACATTGCACAGGTTATTGCTGTTGTAGTTACGCATTGCAGAGTGATGGCAGCAGGGATGAATGACCTGCAGTAGCGCTCCTTTTTACAAACAGGGTGTACAAGTCTTTCACTAAGGGAGCTGCTCAGCTCCTCTAAAGTCTGGTGAAGAGGGTGGAAGGTGTTGTTCAAGATGGATGCAAGCTTGGACAGCACCCTCCTCTTAGCTACTTCCTCCACTCAGTCCAGAGCGCAGCCCAGGACAGAAACAGCCTTTCTCACTAGTTTGTTCATTCTCCAACAAGGAAAAGGTTTAAAGCAGATTAAAAAATCTACCAAGGCATTCATGCAAAGGGAGAAACTCATTGTTCACGTCACTTTTCCCTAACTAAAAACCCTCAACAATCCTCCACCATAAATCAACCCCCCCAATAATAGACTAGCCAGTGAGATTTCTGCAAAGCCACTAGATCACTCTCCACTACTGGTGCTATGAATCTGGGATGAGATTAAACTACATGCTCTCTACTCTACAGCAGTAAAGATTTTTGTAGGATTTACTCCTACAGTGCAGAATTTATTGCTTTCAGAAGTGACGAATAAGCATAAAAAATACAGATATATAGCACAAGAGGTTTTAAAGATACCATCACACAGAATCATTCACCAGGGCTTTGGGTTGGGGAACGTTAGGGAAGTTTGCAGAAGTTTATATGACACCATAATTCAGTGAAATCCTGTATTAGAATCTATACCTCATCACCTCACTTTATCAATGCTGTTGAAGAAAACATCTGGATAGTATCTATAAATCATTTTATATATGCATATTTTTATGTTGTGTTTTTTTGACAGATCTTCCCTCTTCCCTTGCTGTATGTTGGAAACCATGTAACAGGACTGGCGAGCACCAAAAAACTCAGGTCTCACCTGCCTCACATGCAGGATACCTCAGATTTGACATCTGCTGAACCTTAGCACACTATGATGACTAACGAACAGCTCTCTTACAGTTTACCCATGTTTACAGTCTTGCGGAAATTCACCATACTGATGACAATGATCCTGGAAGCTTATTTGTTAAGGTAAGAACTCCCTGAATTCTTAAATCATTATTTCTTCTGCTTTTTTTTATTTGAGCTCCCTACTTGAGTATTCTTTTCCTTGTAGAAAAACATTTCCAAGACGTATCATTTGCAGTGTTGTGACAATAGTCTTTGGGGCCATGGTGGCTGCCAGGTCAGATTTTTTTTTTTTTTTTTTCAAATTGATTTTATTTCTGAATATTGGATGATTGTAGTGTGGTTATTGTGTCGATTTTTTGCCTTTTTTGTAATCTTTTCAACCATTTCAGTTCTGATCTGGCCTTTGACGTGGAGGCCTACACCTTCATCCTGCTGAATGATGCCTTCACTGCAGCCACTGGTGTTTACACAAAGAAAAAACTTGGTGATCAGGTAGCATTAGTGCACATCCTATATAGTGGTTACACCACCAGATACTATTTAGATGTTCTTTTTTTTGTAATTTTTTGTGAATTATAATGCACTTTTTTTATCCTAAGCAAACCGAAACTGCAGCTTAATTACAATAACATTATTCCATTTCAAATATTCTCAAATCTACAGTTTAGGACAGACAAATCCATTGCTTTGAAGGAGTCTGATTCTTTTTTTGATCTTCTAGAATATTTGTGATCATTAGTCTTCTAGGGTTTTTTCTAGTGCCTGTCATTTTTTTCCATTGGACTTTGGCTGCTTTTATTGTCATAGGATGTGGTGGTGGAGTATGTTCAGAAAATCATTTACCACCTGCAAATGAACAGTACCTGAAACTCAGAAAAATGTGACAACGTTCATCTGGCTACAGAAGTCAGTTCCTGTTAAAGGGTGTAAATCAGATTTTCAGGTAATATCTGGAAACGGTCTGTTTTAATTGCTGTAAATCCTTAAGACTATGAAGAAAGTATAAATATTTATTTGATGCAATTAAAAAGAATGAATAAAATATTTTAGATAGAGTTAATAGTGTTTTTGTGTTTGTAGGAGCGTCTGTCTATTTTTTTTTGGAGTAAACTTTGTGTTTAAATTAAAGCTGTTTTGAATCGTGTATTTTAGCACTTAAAAAAATCTAACTGGGTATTAAAAACTATTTTTTTTAGCTTATCTTCTGCTCTGTGTGTACACAGGGCCTTGGGAAGTATGGTGTCCTATTTTACAATTCACTGATCATCGTCTTACCCACCATCTTGGCCAGTGCATTCATTGGAGATTTACACAAGGTTAAAGCATACGCTCTGCAGGGTTGTTTTTGCAGTCCAAAGCTGGAAGTCTTTTGCTTATCTGGCCTTGTGTTTTACCCTCAGGCATTATCATTTAAGGACTGGAACAACATTATATTTATCGTATGTTTTCTTTTGTCCTGCTTCATGGGGTATGTCACACCAACCCAACACCACATTCTGACCAATTATTATGGGATTCTTTTCACCTTTTCTGTTTTTCTCATCAGATTTGTATTGATGTACTCAATAGTCCTCTGCAGCTATTATAACTCAGCACTTACAACCACTGTTGTGGGGGCCATAAAGGTAAGAGCCATCTGACGAGTCCTTTAAAACCATGAAAAAAATGAAACACCTCACACAATGCAGGAAAACTGAGATCTGCAGCTGTGTTCTTGTCCTACAAACCCCTACTCGGAGCTTAACTTTCCGGTTTTTCAGGCTTTTCTTGTTTCCTAATTATTGTGTGGCTTAAATATTTACAGACTGCTTGTAACTTTTGATTTCTCCTCCTCTCAGAATGTAGCCGTAGCTTATGTCGGCATCTTTGTAGGTGGAGACTACCTGTTCTCCTGGACTAACTTCCTCGGACTCAGCATTTGGTGAGGATTGATCTTTGTTTTTTCTTGGCTATTTTATCTTTATTTTTGTGTAAATACTGAATGACACTTTGAATAGCACCACCCATATAAAGCATGATCTTGCATTGATTCCCCATCTTGATGAATTTTACATTTTCGGACATATTTTCTTAGTTTGAATGATCACATTTAAATGCTGATTTTAAGCATCAGATTTCCAGGTTTAAACTCTGTTTTATGGAGTTGAAAAGCTGCTTGAAAATTTTTTCCAAATGTCACAAATTGTTACATTGATGTGGAATCCTATTTCCACTTGTCTCATAGAAAAAAACAACCTTTTATCTAATAATAATTAGCTTGCAAAGTCATTATTATGAGATTTAAGCTCTTTTTTTCATGACAGGGGCACTGATGTGCTTCCATAAGTATTAAGTATATTTATTAATGGGCCATGGAAATGAAAAGTATTTTCTTATAAATGATCTCATGTGAGTAAAACAGATCTCTTAATAATCTAAATAAAGTTCCTCCTGCAAAAAACATACAATTATTTATTTTTTTTAATTAAAATTGCTCTTGTATAGGCTAAAAAACATTTTTTACACTGTTTTCATTAACTACTATATGATATCCATCCTGCTTGCATGAAAAGCGTTAATATATTAAGTGGTAGATCATTGTGTGGTCTAAAAAACACTGAAAGTTAGTGGTGAGAACAAGAAAATATGTTGTAGTTTGGTTTGTTTTCAGCAATATTTATCAGTAAAAATCTTTACATTAACAGGTATATTTTAAAAGTTTGTCTACATTAACCTGCCTTGCTGAGAGCCTAATATGCACCATTTTTAAAATGTTCTCTCAGCTCTGAGCAGTCATAAAGAAATTAGTTTGACAGGAGCTAAAAGTGGTGAGAAAGAAAAATAAAAGATAAAGGTATCAATCAATATATAAAAAGCAGTTTGTTTTTTTTAACAGAAAGTATCTTCTTTAAAATATATCCTATAATTAAAGCATTACTTGCAGTTTCTCAGAATCAAAGTATAATCGCAAACATTTCAAGGCTATGTGGACATTATACACCCCTCAGAACAAACACTGTTCATTTCTTTTTTTCTGCAGCATGTCAGGAGGACTGGCTTACTCATTCCTCACCTTCAACAGCAGTCAGCCACCTGGAAACAACCCAGAGGAAACACAAGAGCAGAAGATTCCCATTACTGAGGATCTATCAAAGAAACTGAGCCAAAGATAAAAACACAAACCACTAGGTGGCGTTATCCTGCTTCATATTGAAGCATTTTCAAAATTTAGCACTTCATTGTTTCTCTTTTTCTAAAAATAAATCTATTAACCTCTAATTCTAATGCTATTTAATCCAGATTTTAAACCAAAATAAATAAGAAATGCCACAAACGTGTCGGATTCAGTGAATGTTTATTGATGATCACCTATGAGAGAACAGTGTGGGCAGCCTGTCAGAGAAATCTCATGTTTACATGGAAATACAAACATCTAACAGCAAGCAGGATCCCTCTATACTGTCAATAATCAACACTGCTGAAGGAGTTTAGCTGAAGCAAAAAATCTAAAATTAAAACTTCAAAGCTTTCCGTAAATAGTGTGCATACTCATGTTGTTTACTAAAAAAACACTATATTTTATATATATATTAAATGCCTTAATTTACTCAAACCAGAAAAAAAACAGACTAGGGGGTTGAGGCGCTACCAAGTAGATTAAAATTTGGATTATTAATTCATTTGGTTTAATCTTCTTCTTCTGGGATTATTACTTTGCCTCTTTAAAAGGTAATTTGTAAGCCAGATTAAAAGAGCACAGCTAGCATGAGGGTTTTCATCGATGGGGGCTTCTTACAGTGTTCAAAGATGTAGTGTCGCATTCCAGAAAGAAAATAAAGTTGAAATCAATCCAAAAATCACCCCAGCAACACTTTCTTTAGAAAAAGAAAACAAAAATCAATTTCCTGCACCAACGATGAAATCAAACCTTAACTGCATTGCAAGCTTAATCCAACCTCTACAGCCGGCACTTTTAATGACATTGATGCTTTACAAAGTTTGGATTTATTTGTCACACGATTAAATAATGATTCCAGCACTCAAAGATAGGATCACGATGTCAGCCTAAAAGAAAGAAAAGGTTAAATAAATACAAAAAAGTTAAAATTAGACTGAATAAGCACGCCGTTTCCATGCCGTGTCAGCATCACATCTGGTCTCTCAGCTTTTAATATAAAAGATGACGAGCCATCCTAGAGAAAAAAAAAACAAAAAAAAAACAACCTTGTGCCACCAGCTTTCCCTTGTGTTTAGGCATGGACCAATTTTTATTCCATCTACTATTCTATGTATGGGGACTAAATACGTCAAATGTGGAATAAGATCCAGTTTATTTAATTAGGGAAAACATGGTAACATTACCATGGATTCTACGCAGACATAAGAGAATATTAACTAGAGGTCTGAAGTTTAAGTGCTTTTTATCCCTTTTTCTGCCGTCCCTTTTTGTCAGTACAGTAGGAAGCGTTTTTGTAGTAGGAAGCGGTAAAAGCTAACGTCATCTGATCAAGCTGTGCTCTGGCTTGCCTTTATCGTAGTAGGGAAAACCACGTGATGTCACCTTCTATCAGCCAGTTTACATACATCCATAATCTATGTTCAGCTGAACCCTACTATAGCTTTAACTCAGTGTCCTCTAAACCCGATAGGACTATAAAAGCCTTTCTTTTAAACAACAGGGGGTCTTTTCTTTAAGCTGCTGAGCAGCAATGTGCAGCTTCAGGCAGAGATAACACTGGATGGTTATTTTTTTACAATTAGCTTGTCTTCTGGCTGAGGAAAAAAAAAAAATCTTTGAGCCAGCTGATGTACAGTGCACAGCAGATCTGCCTTACTCTATAATCCACACAACTGGAGCAAACTCTTGTGTTTCAAACTGTTGGTAATTGGCCCATGCCTATTTGTGACAAGGAAACCAGCATTGATAACAATCAGAATATGCATGAATCAAGTCCAGAAAACAGGAACTACTTGGCTGGCTTAGCAAAGAATGGCAACATTAACAGACCAGGGGGCTAGTTTCTTTTTGTTGGTTATAAACAAGCTTTTTGCATGACCAGACTTCTGGATTAGGCTTGCAATGATTGCCTCTCGTGTGCTCGGTAACGCATCCAGGTTTGGTGAACAGGGTAGTAACAGCGCGGCTTAAACCATTTCACTTCAGCTTTCTCTGTTCTTTAAGGGCATCTGACGGTTGGACCAGTGAACACACCCTGCGTCTTTCTGTCCATCTGAGCTTAATCCACACATATTTACACACATATCAGTCATACACTTTTTTTCCCACAATATACTTAAAAAAAAAAAGAAAAGAAAATAACTCGTTACCAAAGTGCAAACAAAATCAAATTAAAACAATAGGTATTCTTTCTGTGCCTTTAGAAGACAGGAAAGAGACATTCTTCATGTTGTAAAACCTACATTTATAGCAGCCAAAAGGTTAAAATGGAAGCTGAGTAAGGTGCTTTAGCTTGTGCCTTCCTGGTGCTGATGGGGGGGGGGGGGTATTCTGTGCTTTAACACTGATCTCAGGCCAAGTCAGCTTCTTTCTCAAAGTCTGGTTTTACAACTTTATAAAGTAAACTAAACTAGGCGTTGATCTGCGTTTATGAAGAACGTTTAGCTACAGCACATAACTGCAGGAAGGCGATTAGAGAAGGTTGGGAGAGTCCTGGGTGGGGAGGGGGGGTCTTCAAGCAGACAGGTTGTTGGCCAGCTCAATGAGGGCCAGAGCACCGTGGAGACGCTCCCTCTGCTCCTGAAGGCGTCGCCTGGCTGCACCGCCCGGATTACCCTTCTCCTCCTCGATGGCCTCCTGCTCGTCTCCGTTCTCCTCGTCAGAATGCAGAAACCCCATGGGATCGTGCTGCTCTTGGTCCTCCGGCCTCGCCTTGCCCTGCGGCTTCATCTTGGTAGTTGTAGGGGCACGCTGCTCGCGGGTTTGCCAGTACCTGAGAGATAAAGGAGGGTGTTCATCCCATCTGTCAGTTCTCTCATATGTAGAACATTTTTTTGTGAGACAGCTGACCAAAAAGATTGGCTTCCTTTCTTTTTGTTTTTACTGAATTTGAAAAATAGAATAGAATTTAGATATTCTTGAAGAAAATACAGCAAGACACTATTTCCCAACCATATACAACATTGTCATAGCCTATCCTAATGTTGTCATTTGACTCTAATTATTAATTTACTAGCAGAAAGAGCCATTTTTTCATAATTTTTTATATATATATAAAAAAAAAAAACTGGCAACACCAGCATTGCTGTTGTTGTTTTTTTTTTTGTTTTTTTTTTAAAGATATACAAAGAAATTAAATTATTTGAAAAATGTGGCAATTTTTACTTCATCCAATTTGTCCAAAGAAAGAAATCAAAACAGGATGATAACAACATCAAAAGTTTTTCAGCTCTGCTTCTCTAGTGGGCGTTTACTTACTTAGCTAGCCACTCTGCCACGGCCTTGTTATCCACAGACTGAGCCTTTCCCAGACCCGCCTTCGGTTCCTCTCTGTTGAGACGTGAGAAAGGATGCTTGGGGCAGTGACGGTTGGCGTGAGTGAAACGACTGCCACAACCTGCACAGAAAAACGGGGATCAGCCGAAACATCTAAAACCCATGCATGGTTCTTTCAGGTGGTAAATAAAGCAGATCTCTGTTTTTTAATCAGACGCAGTGCATCTACTCATGCTGTGTTTTCGGGTACTTTCCAAACACTCCAAATGAACACCCCCCCCCCCCACTACTGAAAAGTACCTAAAGGTGACTAAAAGTGAAAGTAAGAAAAGGTCTGGGTTTGATTTGACAGAACTGATGATTAAGTTGTTTTGTTTTTCTAAGCATGTCTGGCGCACCTTTCTCTGAGCAGACGAATGGTTTCTCCCCGGTGTGCAGCCGCTGGTGAGTCTTCAGCTGACCGCTCTGGACAAACGCCTTCCCGCAGTTTGGGTAGTCGCACAGATAGGGTCTCTCTCCTGGATGGATAGGGGGATACTTTTGAGTACAAACACACATTCCTATTTACACAAAGCAGGTAAATAGAGGAATATACTAGAAATACACTGTAGGAAAAAAGCTTCCAGGTAGTTTTCAAGGTTAAACAATGTTTTCAAGCGATTTTTTTTAGACAGTAACATTTGCTCTGTTTTATTGTCATTTCACCTTTAAAAGATCCTGAATTAAAGACACTTGGTTTGCTCCCAGTCTAGCAGCACAGGGCTTTTCAGCAACCTTATGTTATCTCTATATAGAATGTATAGAATATATTAAATTAATAAAGATGCACAGATCAGATATTTCGTCCTGCCAATAAACATTTCCTTTGCTATTCCCAGTGAGTGCGGCTGGATGTATCTGGCTAAACTGTAGAAAGTTAGCAGTGGTCATTATGCCCAGAAAAGCTCTGTAAATCCAGCCAGGGTGTGCATCCTCTCATCAGTTTTGTCTTGCATCTTCACCCCCCCCCCTCCTGCGGGTTATCTCACACTCTCACCTGTGTGTGTTCGCTTATGAGCCTGCAGTGACTTCTCTCTGGGGAACACCCTGTTGCAGATGTTGCATCGGATGCGGCTGGAGGAGGTCTCGCCTTCACTTATCAGCTCCCGGACTGTGTCTGCTCGAGGCCGGCCTCTGCGGATACCGTCCTGACAACCCGACATAGACGGATATTAGCAGAGACAAAGGTGGCTAAAGCTAATTTCCACAGACCAGTACCATAACAGTGTGCATGGATTTTAAATTAGGTCAAATGTCCCAGTGTTTGTGTTTTAGACCTCGAAGGGGTCAAAAACAGAAACAAATGGCTCCAAATAACTGTTATAATGGCAGCCTTTAACAAATACTGCTGGCTTGTAATTGAGCTACTGCTGCCTTTAACTCTTTTTACACTTTCACTTTTCCATAGAAAATAGTCCTGAAACTATTCTGTATTTCTTTTTCATTTTATTTCTGCATGCCCTCAACCTCTAGTCTTATGTCTGCTGTTTTTTTTTACTGGAGGGTCCTGGCCGTTTAAATGCAGTCATTCCTTCCCACTATCGCTTTACTTCCCTGCGCAGTTAACTATTCTTTAACAACTGGCAATACAAGATCTTCTGAATTTCAGTAATTGTGTGTAATTAGGATTGAGCTGCATCTGATGTGATTGGATTTAAAGGATGGCTAGACTGGAAAAATTAATTCTAGATACCTGCAAAACAATTCAAGACTATATACAACTAAGCTTAATAAGTCTTCCAAAAAACTCTTAAAATTATAATATATGCTTTGACGTTCCATTCATTTTATGGTTCTCTATTGATATACATTGTAATCTATAGTTATGAACC